GGTGGCTCAGTCAGTTGAGCATCCGACTTCGGCTCAGGTGGTGATCTCACAGTTTGTGAGTTCGAGCCCCAGGTCAGCCTCTGTGCTGACAGCTCAGAGCCTGGAGCCTGCTTCAGATTCTGTGTCTCCCTCCCTCTCTGCCCCTCCCCTGCTCACTCTCTGTCTCTTTCTGTCTCAAAAATAAATAAACATTTAAGATCTGTGTCTAGGTCCATTTTGCTTTGAATGTGGATCTTCGGTTGTTCCAGTAACATTTGTTGAGAAAATGACCTTTCCTCCATCATGTTTGCCCATGTTCCTTTGTCAAAGATCAGTTGATTAGATTTGTGTGAGTTTATTTCTGCGTTCTCTATTCTATCCCATTGCTCTGTTTATCTGTTCTTTCACCAATACCGCACAGTCTTGTGAAGTCTTATTGTAACTTTATAGTAAGTCTTGGTACAGGGAAGTTTTGGTACCCCATAATTGTTTTCCTTCTCCAGTATTCTGTTAGCTATTCTGAGTCTTTGGCTTCTCCATACAAACTTCAGAATCATTTTGTCAATATCCACAAAACCACTTCCTATGATTTTGATCGGGATTCTGTGAAATCGTATAGATCAAGTTGGGAAGAACCGACATCTTCACAATATTCAATGCCCCTATCCATGCACAAGGAACGTCTCTTCGACTAATTAGTTCTTTGAGTTCTTTCATCAGAATTTTGTAGTTTTCCTCATATAGATCTAGTACGTGCATTGGTAGATTTACTTCTGTTTTATTTTCGGAGGTGCTAAAGGAAGTGGTATTGTGTTTGGTGGGTTTTTTTTTTTAACACCAATAAAATTTTATTTTATTTTATTTTATTATTTTTTATGAAGTTTTTTATTTTCATCCCGGTATAGTTCATATACAGTGTAATATTAGTTTCAGGTGTACAATATAGTGAGTCAACACTTCCATACTTCACCCAGTGCTCATCATGACAAGTGCGCTCCTTAATCCCCATCACCTATTTCACCCATCCCCATCCCCACCTCCCCTTTGGTAACCATCAGTTTGTTCTCTATAGTTACAAGGCTGTTTCTTGGTCTGTCTGTCTCTCTCTCTCTCTCTTTTCCCTTTGCGTGTCTGTTTTGTCTCTTTAATTCCACATACGAGTGAAATCATGTGGTATTTGTCCTCCGGCTGACTCATTTCACTGAGCATCATACCCTCTCGCTCCGTCCATATTGTTGCAAATGGAAAGATTTCATTCTCTTTTATAGCAGAATAATATTCCACTGTGTACACACATCACATCTTCTTTATTCATTCATTTATCAATGGACACTTGGACTGCTTCCATAATTCATCTCTTGTAAATAATGCTGCTATAAACATAGGGGTGCCTGTATCTCTTTGAATTAGTGTCTTTGTGTTTTTTGGGTAAATATCCCATAGTACAATTACTGGATCATAGGGTAGTTCTATTTTTACCTTTTTGAGAAACCTCCATATTGTTTTCTACAGTGGCCGCACCAGCTTGCAATCCCACCAACATTGCATGAGGTATTGTGTTTTTAATATCAAATTCCACTTGTTTATTGCTGGTATTTAAGCCAGTGATTGAGTTTTGTATATTAACCTTGAATCCTTCAGCCTTGCTGAGATCACTTATTAGGTCCAGGAGGTTTTTGTTTTGGTTTTGGTTTGGTTTTTTGTCAGTTCTTTCAGATTTTCTACATAGACAGTTATGTCATCGGCCAGCAAAAATTTCATTTATTTATTTTGAGAGAGAGGGAAAGGGAGAGAGCACGAATTGGGGAGGGGCAGAGAGCGAGGGAGAGAGAAAATCCCAAGCAGACTCCACACTGTCATCACAGAGCCTGAGGGCTCGAACCCACCAGCTGCGAGATCGTGACCTGAGCCGAAATCTAGAGTCGGATGCTTAACCAACTGAGCCACCCAGGCACCCCCCCCAAAGATTATTTTATTTCTTCCATGCCAATCTGTATACTTTTTACTTCCTTTTTGTCTTTTATTGGATTACTTAGGATTTCTACTACAAGGCTGAAAAACAGTGATGAAAGGAGACATCCTCGCCTCGCTCCCAAACTTAGTGAGAACACTTTAATTTTCTCACCATTAATATGATATTCGTTGTAGGTTTTTTTGTGGATGGTCTTTATCAGGTTTCCCTCTATTCCTAGTTTACTGAGCTCTTTTAATTACGAATTGGTGTTGGATTTTATCAAATGTTTTCTCTGCATCGACTGATATGATGATGTTTTTTCTGCTTCAGTTTGTTGATGTGATGGATTATTTAATCGATTTTTTTTTAAAGCATCACTATCTTTTTTTTTTTTATGTTTTATTTATTTCTAAGAGAGAGAGACAGCGCGAGCAGGGGAGGGTCAGAGAGAGAGGGAGACACAGACTCTGAAATAGGCTCCAGGCTCTGAGCCGGCAGTCAGCACAGAGCCCGACGCGGGGCTCGAACCCACGAACCGCGAGATCATGACCTAAGCGAAAGTCGGACGCTCAACCGACTAAGCCACCCAGGCGCCCCAATTAATCGATTTTTCAATATTGAGTCAACCTTGCATATCTGCAATAAATCCCACTTGGTAAAAAATAATTTTAATTATTATTAACTTTTTATTATGCTATATGATTACTAATTTCTGTTATTATTAGAAAGGAACAAAGAACACTCTTTGATCTGACTAAAATTACTTTATAACTGACAGCAATGTAATTAAGTATGGTTTGTACTTTTTGAAAATCTCAGACCACTTTGGTCTGGCTCTAAGTTTAGTTTATTTTGATGAAATGTATTTGATGAAGTTACTTTAATGGTTTGACATGGCTGGAAAGACACTGGGAAAGATATGTAAATTAAAAAATTTCTTTGAGAGAGAGAGAGAGCACGCACACGCACACCAGTGGGGGGAGGGGGAGAGGGAGAGAGAGAGAGAGAGAGAGAGAGAGAGAGAGTCCTAAGCAGACTCCATGCTCATCATAGAGCTCAATGCAGGGCTCCATTCCATGACCCTGGGATCATGACCTGAGCAGAAATGAAGAGTCAGGGCTCAAATGACTGGCCCACCAAGGTGCCCCAAAGATACATAAATAGAAAAAGAGAAAGTAGATCTCTTGGTTGTACTGACTAGTTGCAGCAATCTTTCAAGCCATGTATCAGTTGTGCGGAGATTTTTGCTGAAGACTGGCTAGTGAATTTCTATCTTTTAATGTCTAATTGTCCTAGAGAAACAAGCAGAAGATGCAGCATTTGAGAGAGCTTCATTTGGGAGATGCATAAACAAGATAGAAAATTCCATCTCTGTGTTTCTTTACAAGTATGAACATTCGAAAGCTTTTCTGTCGCCCATGCATATTGTTTTCTGCAATAAAAATAACATAATGGAGGAAACTTCCAAACATCTCTGCTCTCTCCGTGACATAGATTTCTCTAAAAAAAAAAAAAGAAGAAACTACTCAATTTCTCACTCATTTAAAAAATGTCAGTGTTTAAATCTCAAAGAGATTATGTGCTTTTATAAACAATTTCCGCTAAGCAACAAGAATTATGATTACTTGCCATCCTGGTGAAGGTCAGTGAATTCAGAACCTTTATTAAAAGTGAAAGAAAAATTCAGAATTCATCTTTAGTTTCACTACTTTTAAAATTGCTTTTCCAGCGGTGCCTGGGTGGCTCAGTCGGTTCAACATCCAACTCTTGATTTCGGCTCAAGTCAGGATCTCACGGTTCGAGCCCTGCGTGGGGCTCTGCACTGACAGTGCAGAGTCTGCTTATATTCTCTTTCCCTCTCTCTGCCCCTCCCCACTGGCACAGTCTCTGTCCCTCTCAAAATAAATAAATAAAAACTTTAGGAAACCATTTATTGAAATTGCTTTTCCATAAGATCTTCCCCTTACAGTGGAAACGATTTTCATGATTGTTGCCCATCCCGTCAGGAAGTGTTATACTCATCCTGCTGTGAAGGATAACATAAGCCATACCGCCACCTAACCACTTGTGCAAACTGCAAACCCTTTGCAGCGAGCAAGGGTGCCGGGGCCATCCCGCTGAAGTTTTACAACTTTTCCTTCTGATGGAGATAAAATCCAAATAACATAGTTAACCATTTTAACCATCGTAAAGCATACACTTAGTTCACTGGCTTATAGCACATTCACCATGTTGTGCAAGCATCCCCACCGATTCTAGAACCCAGAAAAGCAAACTTGTACCCATTAGACAATCCCTCTCCCCATGCCCCGGAAGCCACCAACCTGCTTTCTGCCCCCACTGCATTTTTTAAAATGTTTATTTATTTATTTTGAGAGGCAGAGAGAGAGAGAGAGAGAGAGCATGTGAGTGGAGGAGGGGCAGAAAGAGAGGGAGACAGAGAATCCCGAGCGGGCTCTTTCGTGTCTGCACAAAGCCCCACGTGAAGCTAATAAAATCTTGTCACTTAAATTTCAGGTGGACAGAAAATTGAATTAGTCACCCAGCTCCTTTCTCCTTCTAGAATTCTGTGAGGACCATCAATGGTCGCCTGGAACTGAGGGGTTTCCTGGGACTTTGGGACAGTCTGGGGACAAACTAAGACAGGTCGTTCCCTCTGTCCTTTGGGCGTCTATGTCTTTGCCAGATGCTGTCACACAGCCACCAGAATGTCAGCCGTGGGGGAGTGGGCCCAAACCTCCAGCCTGTATTTCCCCGTCTGCTGTATTCCTCTACCTGCAGGCACTGCCCTTGGGGCTGAGACCTCCTCGCGGGAGGCAGGAGCAGTTATCATAAATAAGATTTGGGCATTCCTGGGTTCCCGGCCACAGGCCATCAAACCCTCCTATGAATTTCTAAGAAAATCCCAGTTGTAACCTGGATCCGGCTTCCGAGGCCATATTGTTGTTTTCCATTTTAATTGGAAAACGCTTTGGCAATGTCAGCTTCACGTCCATATGGAAGTTGAGACCTCACGGCAGTGTCTAGATTCCTCCCAGGGCCTTTGAGCGCGTGCGGGTGGGGGAAACAGATGCAATCAACACAGCTCGTTTCCATCTGTTACACGGGCCTCTTCACCTCCGGAGCATGCTGGAGCCCCGCCCCCTGCCGGAGCAGCCATGACATTGGGGACGTGTCTTCAGGATCAGGTCAGAATTCCCCTGGCCTACAGGGGGTGGGGTCGCAATGTTAGAATTACTTGACGAGCGTAGCGCAAGATTCTTTCAAGGAGGGGACTCGTTTATTAGTTACTTGAACACAAAATGTTTAGAAAAGAAAACAAAAAAGAGGCTTTATACAAAATCTCACTTTGCATATAATATTGGTAGATAGATTTAAAAAGTAAAGCAGATACATGGTTAGCAAATTCAAGCAGCACAGAAATGAACAAATTTAAAGGGGAACATTCCCCTCCTTTTGCTTCCAGAGTCTCTCTCTTAGCTGCTGTTAATACATTTTTGTCTCCCCTTCCCTGCCCTCCCCAACTTATTTAGGCATATACCAAGAAATCAATCAGTCCACCTGTCTCTATCATCTATCTATCTATCTATCTATCTACCATATATCATCTATCTATCCAAATTTCTATACTTATTTACACAAAAGGAATCATTCCATACACACTCTTCTGCACCTTGATTCTTGGAGAGATTTCTATGGTAGCCCAGACCATCATTTCTTGGTATTTCAAAGTGACAACAAGGAGCACAGTATAATCGTTAAGAGCATAAACCTTGAAGCTAAAGGCAGGAAGAGTAGGAGGGGAAAATGGGAGGAGGGGGAAAGATGGAGAAGGAGGAGGAGGAGGAAGAGGAAGAAGAAGAGGAAGAAGGAGAAGAAGAAAAAGAAGAAGGAGAAGGAGAAGAAGAAGGAGGAGGAGGAGAAGAAGGAGAAGGAGGAGAAGAAGGAGAAGAAGAAGAAGAAGAAGGAGGAGAAGAAGAAAGAAGGAGGAGGAGGAGAGGAAGAAGAAGAGGAAGAAGGAGAGGGAGGGGGGAGAGGAGGTGGGGGGAGGGGGAAGAGGACAGCGGAGACATGGAGCATAAAATGTACATGCACATTCTGAAGGGTTCTATTCCAGAAAAGATTTTATTCAGATGCAGCTTTCTCCCTCATAGGAGCAGGCTTTGTGCTAAAATAGGTCTGAGTACCAAGCCTGATGCCCCCACCCTGGCCAAAGCCGGGAAGGAGAGAAGGACCTGAGGAGAAAAGCAGGTAAGGCTCAGTAGACAACCTCAAGACCATAGAAACATTGCAATTCTTAATTGTACTTAAATCAATTTAATTTCTACTGTAATCCCATCATGCTGGATTGATAGGAAATCAAAGCCTTTACAAGCTACCTCTACTCCTAGGGTGATGCAAAGGTCCTGTGGTTGTACCAAAGAGACGATATTTGGGATCATGCATATGCACACGTGAACACACACACATATACACACCCTTAAGTCTTCAGGTTAACTGTCTGCACTTGTTACAGTTGTGAAGCCCTTCCTCACAGCCCCCAGGCTCCCATTTTCCTGGAGGGATGCTTGGAGCACAGCACTCTTTTCGAGAATGGGAGCCCCTGTGGCTGGTGGAAGCCTCCCTACGGCATTTCACAGCCCTCTCCTGAGGTTTGCTTGGCGCCTTCCCCCTCATGCATGTCTCCTCTAGTCTCAGAAACCACAAAATGTGGCCCCTTCTGGGTTTCCCTGGCTCCCTCCTCTCCAGGTGACTTAAGGCACCCCCTCTCTTTTTCTGCGGCCCCAATGGCAGAGGGCCTCATAATCAACTTCAGCTCTCCCTCTGCTAGCTTTCCCTGCGGTGAGGAAGCCCAGAGTCCGGTCATCCGCTGGGAACAGGAAAAGGAAGAGAGAAAAGATACATGGGGAGAGAGAGTGTATACATTAGTACCTCCAAGCTTATCTTGCCACATTATGATGGACCTAGAACAGTATTCCGGAGACAGCCCTGTTCAGGGATGTTGTAATAAGTATACTATTTTTATTTTTCGGGTATGACAATCGGTCCCTCACTCTTAGATTTCTCTGGTTTCACCGTCAAGCAGTCATGATATCTACTACGGAGGAGGCAGCGTTCACTTCTGACAAAACAACCAGTATAGGACCGAGCAGCGTGGAGCGTGACTATGGCACAGGGTTGGGGTATATAATGCTCAGGCTTGGTCAGGAGAGGTGGTGAAGCCTCAGATACGTTGGTCCAGATTTAATTTGGGGAATCCTTGTAAAGGGACATGCATCCCCTTACTCATACAGGATGACACAAAGAAAGTTCTAGACTCATGTCCACCAAACCTCCTCCTCTCTCACACGGCGAAGCAGTCAGGGACCTCTTGGGCAGTCCAAGCCAGAAGAGAAATTCGGTTCGGCCTGAGGAGGAATTATACTGCCCTGAGGTCTGGAGTGGACGCTTGCAAGGGCCATCCTGGAATAATCTAGAGCTCGACACTTGCAGACTACTTCTGGACCCTCTCCACCGAGCGCCCATTGAGGGCAGGCCCGGGTCTTGGCTGACGTTGTGTTTCCCCCATGCTGTCCCAGCCCCTGACGCGCAGCAATGATCTTAGCTGAATGAGTGAATACGTGGAGGAAAAAATGAGCGAGCGCGTCAGAGTGTAATAGCGAAAGTGTGTTACGAAGCATGACAACCAAGGATATCTCCATGACGATGCTACTCATCACCAACAGCCTGGCTTCACCAGGAGCAGAACACCCAGTCCAGGGCTTGTGCTCCTACTGGGCGGCCCTGGTGCTACCCCGCCCCCGGGAAGGAGGAGGCTGGTGTCCTCGGAGCAAGAACCGCGTTGTCCAGCTCGGTGGTGTCCCAGCAGTAAATCTCCGCCTCTTCCACTTCCTGACAAGCTAGGCTGATTTATCCCCCTGTGGTTTTATGATCAGAGGCTACTCGCATTGCTAATACATTACTCATTTTAGCTATATAGACGGCAAGGTCAAATGGCCCCTTGGAGCTCGGAAGTGACTGGCGGTCACGTAGACCTGCCTTTTCCTCAGAGGGGTCACCTACCATCTCACTCTGTTGGGTAAATTTATAACCTTGAGAATTCTAATGTCCACCTTGCTCCCAGCACCCCCCGCCCCACTGCCCGCCCCACCCCACCACCTCCGACCCTGGGGGCTAGGTAAATTATATTGCCTGGCTTACTCCTCTCATAAACATTCAGTGACAAACTTTTTCTTTGGCCTGGGGTCATAAAGAGGGGAGAGAAAAAAAAAAAAAAAAGAAACCTCTTAACTTTTTTTTCCAACTTAAGACTTCAGTCAAATATTTTCCTCCATCGTCAGCAAGACATAATACTTCATGTCATGAATAAGTTAATGAGAAAAATATGGATGCCCTTCCCCAGTCTCTCGGGGACCTGATGGGCATTTGGCCTCACTGAGGACCAGTTCTTCTCTAAGTCCACGGGGCTCATGGGGAAGTTTCTGGTTCGAGTCTGGTCCCAAGGTACTAGAGACTGGCCTGTCCCCCTCAGCAGTCTGCAATCGTGTTTACCTTGAATTTGAATACCCGTCCCTGTGGAATCTCCCTTAGAACTCCCAGAGGAGCTCTCAAGTGGGTGAATGGCCCACAGCAAGCATCGCCAAATGCCAGCTGCCGAGTACTTCAATATGGCCCTTTTCACATTTTATTTCATCTCTGGACCAAAAATGTGCTTACCTAAAGAAGGCCGTCCAGACTCTTAGCGAGGCATCCAGCTAGTTCCCTACCATCAGGCCACAACCTGCTTTGGCAATCTTACTTTCCACACCCGTTTCCAGCTCTGAGCAAACAGTACTACTACCGCTGCCTGAACCCTCCTGCCTAAAATGTTCTTCCCTTCACCCAATCTAAATCCTTTTCCTTTAGACAAAGACAACGGGGTAATAAATTAGTGCTTCTTCACACTGACATTCTTTAAATATTTACTCAACGCTTTTAGTGTGTGTGGTGGAGGGAAAGGCTGGTGTTTTCACTAATACAAATAATAGAAAGAGACAGATTCACTTTCTAATTCCCTTCCAAGGACTAAACAGCGTCAACGTTCTAAAAAACAAAAAAGGCAACAAAACCTTTCTGTCCTTTAAATAGTTTCTGTTCTCTCTGGTTTTCTTTTAGGGTGTCCCAAGTCACATAGCTTTTGAGGAAGCATATTCTGGGGTTGAAAACACAGCTTATGGGAGGCGCCTGGGTGGCTCAGTCAGATGAGCATCCAACTTCGGCTCGGGTCATGATCTCACTGTTTGTGGGCTTGAACTCCGCATCGGGCTCACAGAGCCCACTTTGGATCTTCTGTCCCTCTCTCTCTTTCTCTGCTCCTCCCTTGCTTGCATGCTCGCTCTCTCTCTCTCTCTCAAAAAAAAAATTAAAACACAACTTATGAAGTCTGTCACTCTTTCCTAGTAGAAAATCCCCACTAAACATCATTCAAGTTCAGACCTTTAAGTGACAGTAACTGGTCTTAGGTGGGTAGTAAGGTCTGTGGAGGTTGTACTTGACTGGGTCACACAACAGTTCATGTAAATAGATCGGCAAGGAATAGAGATAATGTGTCTATATTATATAGGTATATATACTAAGTATACATAAAAATAAATATTATATCTATATAATGTAGATATTATATATCTATATATACACTATGTCTCATCTATACATATATATATCATATATACGTATATATATACTTAATATGGTGTGTTATATATACATATATGGATATGTTTACAAATCATATTACAACCCTATCTTCGTAGTTGGAAAAAGAATCAATTCTATATTTCACCAATTTAGTGAGAATTTGCATAAACAAACCTGAATTAAGGAGCACCATGTTTATAATTCACTCTGGGATTCTTTTAGGCTCCTCACAGAGCCTTTGTAAGCGCGAATCTTTTGGGAGACTTTGGCTCTGCTACGTGTACGTTGTTCCAGAATCTTCCCCTGTGCATACTTCCTCTGTGAAGAATTCCTCACCGCTTTTACCTTCATTATCTCTCTCACCTTTCTGTTCCCACACAAGATTCCAGTATGTTCTGTAACTAGAACTTTGCTACTCAAGAGTGTGGGCCACAGACGAGTAATGCTAGCATTACCTAGGAGCTTGTTAGAAACGCAGAATCTCAGGCCCTACCCTGGAACTTTTGAACGAGAAGGGATCTGTACGTACATTCAAGTTTGAAGAGCTCTGGACTAGAATGCACTATACAGTCTGGTATTTTTTTCTGGTAGCTTCCAGTGTGTAACTTATGGATTCTGAAGAGCAGCCCCCATGGGTTTTAATTCTTTTCTCTCCCCCACAACTCTTAACTGGGCCCCAAAAAGGTGTTAGGGGCACTTCTATTACAAGATTGGTCCATTTTTCAGTCGAATCCAACCCTAGAATCAGAGCAGAAATAGTCTTTTGTCGTCCTCACTCTAGCTCAACCTTTAGAAGTTCAACTTTGACTGTTTTTCTAGGAAGTAAAAGAGCTATTTTTCCTTCAAGGCCTATGATTTCTATGATTCTGTAACTGAGCTCCAAAGGCTGTTTTTAATTTGACCTCAAGTGCAATTCATGAAGACAACTTTGACAATACGAGTTCCCCTTTGGGCAAAAATATTCCCACTGGAAATTCAGAAAGTGTCCTATTGAGTAAAATGCTTCTTACTTTACTGTAAAAAGTGTGTTTAGAAAAGCAAATAATCTATGACGGAGCACAGAACTGTCTACTATTATGAAATCCAATAAAGAAGAAAAAGTAAACTGAGCCCTCCAAATGGGTTTTATACTAAAGCCAACAATTCTCAACTTCTTCGGTGGATCCGTTAGCAGCATGCATCAACGGTAATCATGCAAGGGGCCTCATCTGCCGTCCACCTTCAGATATCTGGGCTTTCAGGACAAGACTTCAGCTGGAGGTGCATGAGGGCTTCGTGGCCTCCTGGGATAGTGGTATTAAGGGTTAAGACAAAAAAAGGAAGAAAGCTGTATACAGCTCTGTGGATTGGGCATTGGGAGTTAGAAATTGTTACTGGGAGCCCATTCCAGAGAGGGTCAGAGCTCAAAGGTATGAGACTTTCAGATACTTTTTTGGGTGTCACTCAAATACTCTCTGGATCTGACCACCAAGAACTTGCTTTGAGCTTCTTGATAGCTGACAGTGTGATGGTGGAGAGATAAGGGTGACTTCTGGAGCCCTAAAAGGAGTTGTGGTTGGGGCACCTAGGTGGCTCAGTTGGTTGAGTGTCTGACCTCGGCTCAGGTTGCAATCTCAGAGTTCGTGACTTCAAGCCCTGCATCGAGCTCTGTGCTGACAGAGCCTGGAGCCTGCTTAGGATTCTGAGTCTCTCACTCTCTGCCCCTCCTTTGCTCGCACTCTCTCTCTGTCAAATATAAACGAAAATTTTAAAAATTAAAAAAAAAAAAAACAACCCTGAGTTGTGGTTAAGTGACCCAGGCTGCCTACAAGCTATGATTATTTGAGAAGAAAATACTTTCCTTATTTAGGAGTGAAACAAAACAGAGACCTGCCCGGTAGAGGGAGAAGGTGAGATGGGTTGGAAGGTGACCCGGAGCTTTGGGGTGAGGATGAAGGCAACCAACGAGGAGGTCAATGAGCCTATCATGGCAGAGGGTGCTGTCTGGGACGTGGGTCCCTGATGATGTTGGATGGGCTCATCCGCGACTCCCAGAGCCCCAGTCACCTTAAACCTTGCTTGCCCAGAAACTGACAAAGAATAAGGAAACAAAGGCAGTGAACACCCATCCACTTATAAGCACAAACATGTCTTCATTAATGAAAACAAACACGCATTCATGAGATGCCTACTACGTGCCAGGCATGGTGCTAGGTGCTAAGGACAGAGAAAGGAATAAAACACCACTATTCCCTTTGAAAAACTCCTAGTCCAGTGGGGAGCCCAGAACACCGATATCTAGAAGCAGATGTGGTTAAGTGCTGATGTGCAGGCATATCCAAGACATTATGGACTGGGGGTTAATATCCAGGAGAGGGATTTAATATCTTGGGATATTATCAAGAGAGGCTTTCTGATTATTGGTCCTGACCCCTCACCCCTTCCTATAACTATGACTTTTGCCATATGGCTTTGTGGTTCTTCCCACAGAGTGTTTTTCTTCACTCAGTGACGTTGGACTTGGCCATGTGACATGCTTCGCCAACAGGATATTTGCAAATGTGACTCGAGCAGGGGCTTGAGACGTGCCCGTGTGATTGGGCTTGCGTGCTTGTGTTTCAGACACCGTGAGAAGAACGTGCCTTGACTAGCCACTGGTCCCAAGAAGAGAATGAGACATACGTGGAGCTCCCTTGAGCCAGCTAGAGCTTAGCTCGTCAGCTGTCAGCCCAATGGAAGAGGTAACGGAAGGAAGAGGTAAGCACGTGCAATTAGTGAACACTCTGTGTCAGGCACTGTGTCAGGGGTCGAAGCATGCGAACTATAAGAAGAGCAAGACAGAGCTCAGAGCATGACTGAGGAATCACAGTACTAGATGTAGCCGCCATTATTGAGTGCTTCCCATGGGCCAGGTCCCCTTTCCTATGGAAAAGTTAACATTTTCTCATTTAGCCCTCACCCCAGCCCTTCGGTAAGTGTTATGACCGTCCTGACTTTACAGATAAGGGATCTGAAGCTTTGAGGATTGTGTAACTTTGCCTGGGGCGCAAACACCACGAGCAGCAGAGCAGGGATTTGAACCTGACTCTCTAACTCAAAAACCTCAACTCTGAACTACATGGCCACAGAGACGTGAGGAAGAACACTTTGCTCAGGCCTGAATGTGTGTGTCTATTGGTCCCTGCCAGTCTTATGCCCACCCCCCACCCGCCACCCCCCCGTGGGCTGGGCCCCACTGTATCCTGGAATCAATGGAGGCTTGGTTTGATGGGAGAGCCCCCTCACCACTGGTTTGAAGGACTGGATGAAGCCTCTTGTTCTATCAGTAGACACGCCAGGGGGAATCATGATGTGCCATCGACGTGCATTAACTAAATGAGCATTGACGTGCATTAACTCCACTAATGTCGTCCTGTTAACAACTACCCTTTGAGATGGGTACAGCTATTATTATCCCCATCAGTGCTCTAGCTTTACCATCTGGGCAACCCCAATCATCTTATTCATTCCACCCATTATTTTTTTAATAATTTTTAAAAATGTGTATTTATTTTTGAGAGAGAGAGCTGGTGAGGGAGGGGCGGGGAGAGAGGGGGACAGAGGATCCGAAGCGGGCTCTGTGCTGACAGGCTGACAGCAGTGAGCCCAATGCTGGGCTCGAACTCCGGAACCGGGAGAGAGTGACCTGAGAGGAAGTCAGACGCTCAACCGATTGAGCCACCCATGCATCCCGCCACCCATTATTGCTGAGCCCCTGATGTGTGCCCCGGCCCTGCCTGGCACAGGGAAGTGTGTAAATGAAACACGTAGGACCTCTGCCTTCACGAAGCTTCAGCTAATTCTCATGGAGCTGCAGTCTCCTTTCCCAGGCCTGATCCCATCTTTCAGCCTCACCGGTGTCCGCTTAAATACACACCACTAATGCCACTGCTTGGGAGCTTCGTCACCTACCTGCCCCACGTTTGGCTAGACCTGAGTTGCTATGCCCGTTTAGATTTAGACACTTGCTCTGACACACACTCCCTGCAGAGAGGGACACCTTTGCTGGCCCCAGAAGGTTCCCTCTTTGATCCCACGCTAGCCCTTGTTGGCTTGCGCCTTTCTTAGGCCGGAAGTTCCCAGCATGCCCTGGGGCTGGGCCCTCTGCACAGATGGTGGAAGTACAGATCGCTTGGTCCAACTTCCTTTGAAAGCAGCGTCCCTGGGTGGGCCACTCTTGTAATAGGCCGCTTCGCCCCTGCGCTGGAGGAGAAGCTTCCCCCACCTTGGTTTAACCCACACCAGTCCTACAA